GATGACAAAGAGAGAGAGGGGGGGAGGGGCCTTGCCTCGTGAATATCGAAGCAGGAGGTTTGTTCAACTGTTACGGTACTGTTGGGTTTTAGGGAAGAAATAAATAGAACTTCAGTCTTTATCTAAAAGCACTATAGCGTTTTTGCCAACAAAATTGGATTAAATCGACGTCGTTTTTTTTGTCTGACGTGTCCTTGTTTTTGTTACAGCACGTGATCTTGCGATTCGAACCCTTTTTAAATGTCAAATTTAAAATTAAAAAATATTGAAACTTCTTTTAATCTTGTTATTTTAAATATGTCATATTAAAATTTTAAAATTAAAGACTCCTACGCACACCAGGTGAAAAAATTAAAAAAAAAAGATATCAAAAAAGATTATGATAAAGTGATAAGTATTCATTTATTTTTAATTAAAAGGTTTCGGATTTGAGCTCATTTGGATAAGGAGTCACCTTTGTTAGGAAACATTTTATCCTTCAATGTGAGACTTCTCAACGAGAATCTAAATTTAATCGAACTTCAATATGGACAACAAACATCATATGAAAAACCTAAAAAAATGAAAAGAAAAAAAAACGTTCTTTTTTAGACAAACTAATAAAAAAATAAAGACAAATTAACTAAAGCAAAGAAAATATTACTTATCATATTTCTCATTTTGCTGGCTCATTAAAAATTATAATAAATATGAAAAAAAGGCCTAAAATATCTTTAAAGTATTGAAAATAGTACAAAACTATCATTTATCCGACTTCAAAATGTCTTTTTTATCCACCTATTGGCTCTAAAATATCTTTGTCATCCACTTTTGAGTTTAGAATTGACAACTTATTTAACGGTTTTAAATTAAAACTATTTAAATGTTTTTAAAAAAAATTGCGCTCAACTATTGAATATAATTGAATTTATTAATATCATCTATAAACCAACCTATTATACATCCATTAGTAATTAAACCTTATCCAATTAATAAATTAATTCTAATATCAAAATCTTGAAGATAAGTTTTAAACTCAATTAATTTCTCAGCCCTCTAATCGGGTGGGCGTCGATCGGTTTTCGACCAGATCCCCCTAACACCCGTGCATGCCGGTCTCCCTGCATGCGGCTCACTAAACAATATTAAAACACAATGAAATTAAAAATCCTTGAAAATAACATTCAAAATAATTCGAGTCTAGATTGAAGCCCCAATTAAAATTAGGTTGATCCGCTTATTTAGGATGACACTTTCATTAGGATTTTTCTTTCAAGTTTGAATTTGAAATTTATATTAAAGGTAAAGAAGTAGTACATCCAGAATTAATTCATGCACTTTTTAAATATAATTTTATAAATATTCATTGTGTTTTAAATATTAAATCTTTAATATATTATTTTTAAAAAAAATTATCTATTAAGTAACAACACATAATTGAGACGAATTAATAATTAAGATGAACATAGTCAGACTTTTAAGTTTAAGGCAATTTTTATTTAGACACTTGAATTATAATATGTTTTGATTGATGACTTGAAGGTATAATAATGTACTTCTATACACAATTTTGCCTCAAATTTTTAGAAACACTCAAATAGCTTTTCTGTTGTTGAATTAGTAATGAGACGATTTTATTAATTGGGTGAGTTTAATTAGTAATGGGTGAGTAGTGGATTGATTTTTAAATTATATTATTAAGTTAAATTATAACAAATAGTTGAGCACCACGTATTAAAAAAATATTTACATCGTTTAAATTTAAAATCATTAAATAAGTGATCATTTTGAACCAAAATGTGGATGACAAGGATATTTTTGAGCCAATAGGTTGATGAGAAGGGTATTTTGAAGTCAGTAGGTGGATGGAGGGTAGTTTTGTATCATTTCTAATACTTTAAGGGTATTTTAGGTTCATTTACGTAATAAATAAATAATAATATTTTATAAAAATTTATGGGATAATGCACAAGTACCCCTCAACCTATGCCCAAAATCTCAGAGACACACTTATACTATACTAAGATCCTATTACCCCCTGAACTTATTATATTAATAATTTTCTACCCTTTTTCGTCGTACGTGACACTATCTTGTAGGCCCAATGCTGATTGACTTTTTTTTCAAGCTAGTGCCACGTAAGCCGAAAAGAGGTAGAAAATTACTTATAAAATAAGTTCAAAGGGGTAAATAAGACCTTAGTATAGTATAAGTGTATCTCTGGGATTTCGGGTATAGGTTGAGGGGGTACTTGTATTCAATGAATACGTTTATGCCTTTCAATCTCAATTTTTTCTATTTTGGTATCTGAAAAGAATATTTCAAGTTTTCAACGACGTAACATTTTTTTTAAAAACAAATATTTCACTTTTCTTGATATTATAAAAGTAATAAACAAATAAATATATTTTAAAAATTGTGGACAAATAAAATTAAACGAAAGGGGTCACTTCAACAACAAATAAAAAGACGCTAAATTTTACACATAAATCGCATTCACTGAATCCGTTTATGCCTTCCATTCTCAACCTCTTTTATTTTGGTATATAATAAGGTTTTCCAAATTTTAATTGACGTGACATTTTTAATTAGATAAAATATTATCTTTTCTTAAAATTATAAAAGTAATAAAATAAATAAATAAATATATTTTAAATAGGGACAAATAAAATTAAACAACTTTCAGATCAAAATAAATGATAGGTCTTCTGAAAAATTGTATGTGGTAAAGTATGTTATATTCCATATTGGGCGTGTGTGAAATCCCTGATGACCAGGTGTAGGTGAAATTATGTGTATGCATGAGAATAAGCGATGACGTGGATGTGTTTTATTTTGTATACTTGTTGGGCAATAGTGAAAGGTCAATATATTGTAGGGTCTACTGGTGAATAACGAGTTGTGTTCGGGGGGGGGGGGGAGGGGGAGAAAAAGATTGGGCTAAGGTTAGAGCTTGATGCAACGAGAAATTATGTGGCCTTGGTTAGGCATGGTGATGAGGAATTGAGGGTATGATAGGAAGGTGATTGTACTTGGGAATATTCGATTGAGTTAGCATGTTTAGTCTATGATTTAATAAAATCAGGAGTGTTAGTTGATGAGAGGGTGATTAATATTTGGAGCATTGGGTAAATTACAGTTGTCCTAATAGAGGGTGAAGGTGGAGAAGCAAGTGATTTAACGTGTGATCTTATTGTTTATTTCTTATATTATGAGATGGGCGTAAGATTGACTGATGATGTCTATCGGTACGCGTGGCTGTACTGATACTACTCTTGCTATTTCTTGGACATAGTCTGGATGCGGATTGGTGATGTTTCAATAGGTGAAGATAAAGAAAATTTTCAGCAACTTTTATCTTTCCTTCTAGTGGGAGTTGTGTCTTTTGTTATTTTGTCGGTCTTTATTCTTAGTAGCTCTTGTACCTGATTGGAGTTGTTAATTACATTACAAGTCTTAACTAGTTCGTGAAAAAAAGTTTGTTTACAAAGAATTTTATCTCTACTATATTTGTATTTCATTAATTTTTCGCATGTATAAACTTTTGGAGTATGAGAATTCTCCTACTTATGCGTAGAGTGGGTGCCCGCACGGTCTGATGGGTTGGATCGTGACATGGACTCTCCCAAAATAAATTACCAAATGACAGAGTTTTTTTTCTTCTCAATTTAAGTATTACTTTATTTAAATTTGATTTTTTAATAAGCTTTAGAGTATTATAAAAAAAAAAAAAAAGCTAAGTTTGAATCCAAAAAAGAAAAAGTAGAGTAACAAATAACAAAAAAAAAACCTCTTTTTAATATTTTTGAACAATATTTATTTGTACAATATTGATTGAAAATTTGAATATCTACATTTTAAATTTAATTATTTAAAATGTAATTAAAGTTTCTGTACTAGATGTTTAAAATAGTTTCTCTCTGTAAAATAATTTTGGGATAAGAGTCTGTTAAATCCTCCAGTTTTGATCGAAATTGCAACAACAAATTCAATCAAAATTGAGGAATTTTTCAAACTCTTTCCCAATAATCTTTATGTTAGAAGCACATTGATGCTTGTCTCTTTTTTTTTTTTTTGGGGGTAATTTGACCTTTTTTTACCCTCCATGTGAGGATCCACTCCTTTTTCTCACTTGAGAACTCGAGCTTGCAATCTTCGAGTTGGAAGTGCGGGGTGCTTACCATCCGATTAATTCTATTTCGTCGAATTCGACCCTCAAAAACACTTTTTAAAGAAAATTAGTTAAACACAAATTGTTCATCACAAACTCTTTTATGCTGAATTTGCCAAATACAAATTATATTTTTGTAAAATATTTTTCTGAGAAGTTATTTTAAGATTTTTTTTTAAAAAAAATAAACACTTTTAGTAGGAATGCCTAGGGGTGTCAAAAATGAACACAAACATAGATAACCCGCTCAAGATTTTAAGGGTTGGACTCAAGATAATTTGAATTGGGTCTTAACCCATTCAAGTCTGACCCATTTTAGGAAATTCACAATAAACTCAATTCAATCTCTCATTTCATTCCGTTTTAAAATTCTTTACTAAATTATGTTCCTATATTAAATGTGTGAATTATTATATATTTAACAACTTTTAAAATTTATATATCAATTTGTTATTTTTTTTAAAAAAAAATCTTAAGCTGAAATTCGAATTGTGATTATAAAAGTTAAATATCACTTTTTTATTGAGATTAATCAGGTTAAATTGGACGGGCCAATATCCAGCCTGTTTTTAGCCCATTTGAACAAATTCATTTTAGCTCAAAATAAACTTAGACGAATCAAGACCCAACTCAATTTCTATTTCAAACTACTTTAATATATTTAATTTTAACCCAACCCGTCATTTAACACCCCTAAAAATGCCAAAAATACTATTATTTTTGTTTTTATATTTTTTTTTTGAATAGATCTTCATTTTACAAGTAACAAATCAAGAAAGATTATTTTCTTTCATTTAATTTATATAATTTGTAAGATCATTTTGCTTTAGTTTTTTTTTTCCCCTTAATAAGTGACATTCATTTTTATTTTTTTTATTTCAATTGCAATGACAATTATATCTACACCACATCAAATTTGCTTACATCATACTGTGAAAATAAAGTAGAAAAAATTCAAAATATTTTTCAACAAATGCTTAATTCGTAGTCTTTGAACTTCAATTTTTTCCAAATTTCTTATCCATAAAAAAAAAACAACAACAATTTTCATACCCTCTTCACAATAGAGGCACTATACCCGCTCTGCTCATCCCAAAACTTCGACCACAACATAACACCTCCATACTTGCGTGATTTCTTAATCGCCGGAAGAATTTCCTCCGTCAACACATCCGCCGGAATAAATCCACTTCCGGCAGCCTGCGGTGCAGCCGGAAGCCCCAAAAATATCCTTTTCGCTTTCACCGACGTCGTCCACCGGATCCAAGAATTTTTCAGATTATCCGTATTATTAGGAGTGAACTGGCACGGAGGATTATTGTAAAATTGAATCCAAACATTATCAAAAAGCTTTGTATTCAAGGCAGTACCAAGCAATCTATCGGGAAATGGACATTGTGGAGCTGCTGTAAGGTACATTTTTCTTCCACGCTTGCTGTAATTTTTCAAATATTTAGCTAGGTCTTCGTAGTGAAGAGGCGATCCAAGCTCAATATCAAAGTCAATTCCATCGAGAATAGCATTTCCCAAAGGCCTAAAAGAGGAACGCCCACCTAAGAAATTGTTCCATAGGTACTTCGCAACGTCCTTAGCGTCTTTTTTCGAAGCTAATGAGTAATTTCCAACACCACCGCCAATAGACAACATTACTTTGACGCCTAATTTTTGGCAGTGTTTGATTTCCGGGCCGACGATTGTGCATCCATTGACGGCAGGGTTGCAGTGACCGGCGAGATTGATTTCAGGGGTTTGACCGTTTCCGAATTTGTTAAGAAAGGCTAAGTTGACATAGGCATATCGCCCAGAATTACAGGTGTCGTTTAATGTTGCTTCGTTGCCGTTTTGGCCCCAGTAAATAGCTATGCCACCAGCAATTGAGTTCTTGACAATAGCTAAGAATAAAATAGAGGAAAAGAGGAGATTGAGGGTCATTTTAGATTGAATATTGAGGTATGATTGGGAGCTAAATTAGAAGCAATTGGTTTTTATATAAGAGGAGATTGGGAGGAACAAAAGAGGAAAAAATGGAGAGGATATTTATTTTTCCATTAAAATAATAGTATCACTCTGTTGCATTATGGGGATTCTTGGAATATTTTATATCAAAACACAGCTAAAGAATGGTATATGGAAAAGAGGAAGTCAAACATCAAAGGTACTTCCTCCATTTATTTGAATTGATACATATATTAAAAAAAAATAATTAAATCAAATGTTAAGTTTATTATTTTCTATTAATTATGAAATTAATAGATTATTTTTTATATTTTTGAAGTAATTAATTATTTAATTGAAAATATAATAAATAAAATTTTTTTTATTCTTTTTAAATATATCAAAATGGATAAATAATTAGAGACGGATGGATGGAGTATATTTTTGGTCATGTCATTTCCAGAATAGCCATTTTCTGTTGGTGAATTTTTGTTTATTTTTCTCTCTCTTTTCAAGTACTTTAGGTGAAAAAATGGGTGCATATGGCCTATGGGTGCTAGAAAAGAAAGAAGAGTGAAGTATGGATTTCTAAAGGTAAAATTGCTAGTCATATTGTAAATTGAGCTATAGTAATACTGATATTGATAATATTTGTGTTAGTTATGTTTGTATTAATTATATTTAAATTATTTTTATATGGTATTGATTAGATGTATTAAAAATAGGAAAAATGGTCAACATTGAAAACTAAGCGAAATAGATTACTTACACCTTACATTTGGGATAAAATATGCTCCGAACATTATCTTAGGAGACCATAAATATAGTCAAGAGTTAACAACAGTGATATGTCACATCATATAACACTAATTCCACCACCTAAGCTTGCCTACTAGGCTACCCACTAAATTTTTGACGTTAATTCATTTTTAAATCCGCGATCAACTAAAATTTTTAAAATTTTTTAATGTGATTAAAAGTCGAGTCCTAGCAGGTAATTCAAATAGAATCAAGGACGGATGGCGGAGGTAATAGGTGTTTCATAGAATTAATTGAGTTATATGAACAACATGATTATAAATAGAACAAAAATTATAAAAAAAAAAAGTCAGCATACTGGTTCCATAATATGCGTTTTTTTTTTTGGCTTTTTGCATCAATTTAAATAGGTTAAATACACAATCATCCCACATGAAGCCTCACAAATGCAAGAGGAGCCTTCCCTAGTGGTGGTTCAAGAAGCAAAATCATATCCTAAATAAGAAGTTGATGAGTGTGGATCAAGCAAAGACGTGCTACTAATAATGCACCATATGTCTAGCTGATATACTTCAAACCACTTAATTATTGAGTTGACCAATGAACACATATTTTAAGCCTCATCTCCTTATCTTCTTTGCAGTCTGCACGAACTTTTCAAGAAGTTTTAGATATGATTTTTGAACTCACAACGTCTAAATTCTAAATTCCTCATTGAATCGTGTAGCAAACATTCAATACACTATTCCACTTCTCAGAAATTATAGTAACCTTAAGTTGAATAAAATGGATTCCCAGATCTCTGATCATTTCTTACCACTAACACAAAAAAATGCAGTATTTGTAGGTTATATAAGAATACTGTTGATTTATCTGTGGTTCATCACTTGTACATTTGTACAATCAAATCTTATATCTGTGGTTCAGAATTCCAGTTCATCAAACTAATGCCTAAATTGATGTACACTGGTTGTTAAAAATGCTATTGCAGGCAAATTTTGCTGATCTATTCCTGTCATGTGGATGAATGCAGCGAATAACTGGAAATATGTGAATTGACGAATATAACTTCCACCATTGACACCACTATCAACTGTGAGTGCACGGATTCTGCATTCGAGTAAGCTGGCTCCTTGTAAAACCATGTGGTCTTTCAACATTTACAGAGTCCTTGTCTTTAATTTTGTTGGAGGGGGTTTAGAAATTGACTAGTTTGTAATGTACAAATGTCTTCATACAACAGAGTGTACAATATAAATTGAACAACAGAGAAGAAAGCTTCCAGCTAAAAGCTTTATTTGTTCAGATGTTCTTTCAGCTACTCTAGACTGTAAGAATACAGCAATGCAGAAGCTGGTTTCTGCTATTCCTCTTCATCACCAGTAATTTTTTTCTTAAGAGCTTGAATATCACTTCTCAGTTCATCCCTTCCACTCTGACAACAGAAAATCCCTTTCATTAGCCATATATGCACTATCTACCCTCAACTAAGAACTTACACCGACAGAAAAATGATATCACTAGTAATAAGATACCATATTCAGCATGTTACCTAAGTCCCAAACATATACGCTCTTGTAGTAGAGATGTAAATTATCAAACTAAATTGAAACGTGATCACCTAAGTTGTTTGGCAAGTTTGAGGGTCTCTAATGCATGGAGAATTATGCAACTAATGTAACTAAAACATGTAAAAACTCAACTTGTCTTTAATTTGTGTCAGTTGACATTGAAAAAGATGCATGATTGGCCTATATGTAACTGAGGTGACAGTAGTAGGAAAGAAATGAATGAATAATACTACATTTGCATTATGACTAAAGTAATCTTAACTTGGTGGGTTGATACTGTTATTCACATACGATAGACCTGAAGTTTCCAAGTAAAAACCTCTTGTGGTGCATGCTATTTAAGCGTATGTTTATATCAAACTGTATAATAGATGCTAGGAAAGATCTGTATTTCATTCATGTTAAGACTGTACCTTAAAGAGAAGATATCTGTAGACGAACCATCCAAAATATCCAAGCCCAACCAACTCCAAAAACTTGGGTAACTGGTTCAGGAAAAAGTTAACACTGTCAGAGACATTCACTTAGGTTCAATAATCACAAGAAAGGAGAGAAGATAAATTATGATAGCCCCAAAAGGACAAGTCTAACTAAACTAGTCAATGTAGTGTAGACATTGGTATTTGGCACCCTATGTGTTGATAAAACACTGGAAAGGACTAATGCAATAAGACCACTTACCAGTGGTATGGAGTCTAATGCATCAGCAATGATTGAAGAAAACCAAAGACCAAGGATTGCAGAACCTCCATAAAGAAAGATTGTGGGTTTCTTTTCAAGTCCATCCCACTACAATAAAGATTTCACACATAGTTGGGTCTCAGGAAACGAAGATTTGAGGCATAACAACTGAACTATGAAATGTAAGAGAGCCTTACCGTGTCTTTTACATTGGAAAATACCTTTCTGATGCGATCAGCAGGTTCAGACGTTTCCTCTTCAGAAAAGGAAGCCCTGATCTTGAAGATAGGAGATCTCTTGGAACCTATGCAGCGTCGAAAGCCTGAAAAAGTTTGCACCTTATACTAAAGAACTCTGGCTTGATGCAAAACCGAATAATATCCTAGAACTTAAAAGTTAGGAAGTAAATTCCTTTTCCTTTCCAATTTGGAACTGTAAAAAAACTTCTTTGTTTATGCGGAACACGAATGCATTCAATCGGAACATAACAAAGAGTTGGGACCTATAAAGCCTGCTAAGTTTACTTGTATATAATCCAACCCTTGTGTGTCAATTTTGCAATTTGTGTTAAATTTACTCCATAGGATCAATGTTTGTATTTCCATAATGACGGATAGCTGGTATATTCATACATTTCTACTATTTTTCCTTGAAAAGTTAGACTCTGATGGTCTTGATACGAGACAACACTAATGAAAGCAATAATAACAAAAAGAAAGAACACACAATCTTTTAGGTAAAAACCCTAGACGGAAAGAAAACCACGGTCATTGATCAACCAATTCATATTATATATTTCTCAAATCTTTATACAAATACACTAAACTAAAGCCATGTTTATATATACTGCGAGAAACCCTAATCCTAATTTGTTTGAAAAATGTGCTCCAAGAGGAAGTTCACAAGAGAGATGTCTCGCCTTCATTGATCATAGACTTCTGATATGTCGAACGGGTTATTTTACAGGTAAAGCCGATTGAGACCCATACATTAAGGCGAAGCCAAAAGTTCGTTTTCTTATCTCAAATTAACAGTTTTATACTTCACAAAAAAAAAGAAGCAGAGCAGGTATAGCAAAAACTAAAACTATCTAGGAACCTGAGAAAAAAAAAAGACGATGTAATTAATACCTGTGGGTGACCTAAAAGACGATGAAAACGATGAACGAGCAGCTTGAGGAGAAAGACGAAGCAAAGAAGGGACATTGGAATGGCACAACCTCATGGTCATTGAGGAATGCGGAAGTGACCTGATCCGTTCCATTGAAGAAGAAGAAGCTGTAGCCATTTTTTCCGTCTAAATTCTTCTCTCTAAAATTCTATTTCTGAGTATCAAATATGGAGTTGACACAAAAACCAGCAACCAGCTATACTTTTTTACAATATATTTTAGTGGATACATCTCTAAACTTGTTAATTTTTTACTCAGATATTTCAACTATTTCATTTTTCGATCATTGAATCATATATAATTTATGTTTAAAAAAATATTATTTATTGATTTTGATCAGCTTTTCTATGGTAAATGCCTTAGTTACGTTTGAATTGTAATAATTTTGATTAAATGAATGAAGACAAACCGTGTTAGTCTCATTTGTTTTCTAATGTGTTCAAATGACTTAAATAAAACACAATTATTCTCGAACATTTTCACTATTAATTAGACTAATGAGTTGTGGAACAACATATGTATCCTCTATCAATAGTACTCACAAATCTAATTCTACATTAAATAACGATATTTGTTTAAACGGAACAAATTATTGGGGTTCAATGTTTCAATAAAAAAATAACATAATTGAGGTACCTCAAAAAAAAAATCCAACAAATTTAGAAATAACTTAAACCTAAATTATTTGATATCCTTTATTTTTCTAAAGTAACACTTCCATCTCTTTCTTACCCAAGTTTGAAACATCTAAAGTTAGGTGAGCGTGTGTATAAAAAACCGCAATAATTGAACTTGTCGTAGTGGGTCATTGTCATTCATTAATTCAATAACAACACAAATGTTACATCTTTTTTTTAAGCACATTAATATATCTTAGTAAAGAATCTGGTGATCTATATATATATATATATGAATAATATATGATCCTTTAGGCTCGAATGTCGTAACTTGACATAATACTAAAGATAGGTTTATCCCCCTCATGAGTTAGTTTTTAGAATTGATTTAGTTTCGGATGCAATGTCTTTACATTATTTCTTTCACAGGTCTGCTATTATTCTTGATGTCTAGTAAAATGATTTTTTTAAAAAAAATAAAATAAAACAAAACATATATTTAGTCCAAACAGTTGGATCAGATCAAGAAAGCGTGCTGATTATGCAAACTAGTACAGTTATTGGGTATATTATGCCAATCAACAATAAGAGCATGAAACTGAAGACTATATTTTCTTATACAAATTTGGCTTCTTTTCTCTGATAAAAGAAGTTACAGCTCCTGAAGTGGCTCAATTGAGCTCTTTACTATTTGATGTATAACGAATAAGATTATGGTAGGAGGCCTCTCACAGTGTGAGCAACTTATGTCCAAAATTTTCCATTCAATTGCTTGTGTTGTCTGTGTCATCTGTGCCCACTGACTCTTCCTGCAAACCTTGCTAGAGGGCCAACAAATTGTTGATTGAAGCCCAAAAAGGGTAATGTGCTAAGCAAAATGAGTATAAGAACTTTGCAGCCTACTTACATGAGCAACTGAAATACGAGCACAAGTATGAAACTCCTGGCAGAGTCACCATTCACCAATAGTCACTACATGAGCAAACTCCATTTTGAAAGTGATGATAACGATTTGTATCCCTAACTACAATCAGACGTTGGGTGATCTTGGAGATAAGTTTTGCAGCAATGTGGCAATCTCCACACACGCGTAAATTTTTAGTAATTTTAATGGGTGTACCATGACTGGTGTTCATAATTGCAAAGACAATAGCCAGCTTCTCACTATGAACTACTAGATGATTTTCTTTCTCTTCCTCCTCAACGTCGTGAAGGGCAGAATCTATTTCTGGGACATATCCTTCCTCTTTCATCTTACCTATTAGTATGTCTAACTCTTCATAGATCTCCTTTGATTGTGGGTGAGACGTGTCACCAGCAAGAAAGGTGTGCACCATGTTATTTAGCTCTACATTGCTGACACCAGGCATTTTCTTAATCCCTTTTCCCTTCATGATTGATCTAACAGTCGTTACATCTTTCCATCTTCCAGCCTTTGCATAAATATTTGATAGCAAGACATAATAACCAGACTGCTTTGGGGCCAATTCAAAAAGATTGTCTGCAGCTACAAGCCCAATGTCCATATCATTGTACACCCGACAGGCACCCAAAAGAGCACCCCAAATTCTCTCATTAGCCTCTATAGGCATATGCTTGATGAAATTGAAGGCCTCGTTTATGTGTCCAGCTCGTCCTTTTAAATCAACCATGCAGGCATAATGTTCTAACCTAGGAACAATCTTGTACTTGTCTGTCATTAGCTTGTAATAGTGTTCTCCTTCAAGTAGTAATCCTGCATGGCTACAAGCAGAAAGAATGGAAACAAAAGCAATAGAATCAGGTTGAAGACCAGACTCCAACATTTGTGAAAACAAAGCAACTCCATCCCGACCTTGGCCACTCTTACCATAAGCAGATATCAGGGAAGTCCATGACACAATATCCCGAAACTTCATATCCTCAAACATTTTTCTTGCCTCTGTCAAACATCCACACCTGGCATACATATCAACTAATGCGTTCTCAAGAGATAAATTTGGACGAAGACCTTTTGTCTCAATAAATTCATGAATCCTCCTTCCCAATGATACAGCTGAAAGATCCCCACAAGCAGGAAGAATGCTAGCAAGAGTTATAGCATCAGGTTCTATCCCACTAGTTTCCATTTGGAAATAGAGCTCAACCGCCTCATTAGGCATATAATTCTTGACATGTACAGCTATCATCACATTCCATGGAACCAAATCCTTTTTATCCAAACTCATGAAAATATCTTTGACGAACAAGACATTCTCAATGCTAGTATTGCTTAAAGCAGGTAAAAGGCTAGCCATGGTTCCTGCATTTGGCTTATAACCTAACACGTTCATTTCTTTACAAACCTCTAACGCATCATCAAACCTTCCATTTTGAGCATAACCAACAACCATTGAATTCCAAGAAACAACGTCCCGTTTGGGCATTTCACTAAGAACCTGGCGAGCCTCCACTAAACACCGACATTTCCCATACATAGCCACTAGACAATTACCAATAAATAAGTCAGAATCAAGACCCCTCTTGCCAACAGCACAGTGAATCTGCAGCCCCACCCTCAAATTGTCGGAACCAAAACAAGCTTTAAGAACACACGGAAACGTATAGTTATCAGGGCTAACATGTCGCTTACACATATCTATATAAATAAAAATCGCATCTTTATAGTACTTGTTATTCACATAACTCCTGATCATGACATTATAGACCGCCCCATTTCTCTCAGGTATTTTATCGAACAGTTGGCGGGTAACAGTCGGTTGGCCACAAGCAGCATAAGCACGCATCAATTTGATGGCAAGAGAAGTGTTGTTACATAGACCTGGATCAAAAATGATCTTGGCATGAAGTTTCTTTACTGTTTTGATATCTGGGAGTCTGTCTAATATACGACTGGAAGAAACTTCGTCTACATTGAGAGAGTAGCTCAGCTGGGGTTTTCTCACTGTTTGTATATATGAATTGGCTGTGGAACTATAGCGGCAAAGACGCAAGGGTCCTGTAATGGATGTCATCAAATGAAATAGCAGTTTATCATTTTCTGAATATTGTTCTGATAATTTATTCATGGAAGCCCTGATGCCTGCTAAAAGAAATAAATATATTCATGGAAGTCCAGTGATCCTACATTAACTGGAGGACTATGAAAGAGACCAAAATAGTTCCAACTGAGTTAAATAAACCTTTCTCCACCATTTGGACTTCATTTCCTCAATTCTTATGATAGAATGTTAAATGTCATGTACATGTTGCATGTCAATAAGGTTTTAACGCATATAGTCTAAATTTTTAAATCGTAATTACTTTCTCCTCATTTTTTTATTTCAAAAATGATATATTCATCCGTTCTTCTTTATTTTGCGGCTAGAGTTTCATATTTTTCTTTGTGACTAGGTTTCAAAGTGGATATTCATGTTTGTAAGTTAGCAAATATTTTTTTCTTATTTTATTATGTTTACGGTTTCAAAGCATGATAATTAGAATTTCACAATTTTCCCCTAATTTCGCAGCTAAGACTTCATAACTTTCTTGGGAGCTGAGTTTCGAAGTGAATATTCATGTAAATATTTTTTCTTATTTTATTACGTTTACGATTTCAAATATGATTGTTAGAATTTCACAACTTTCCCGTCATTTCGAGGCCAAGGTTTTATAATTTTCTCCGGAGTTGAGTTTTAAAGTGGATTTTCGTGGCTGTAAACACAATAAAATAAGAAAAAAGTTTACAAACCTATAACCACTAATATCCACTTTGAAACCCAGCGACGAAGAAAACTGTGAAACCTTAGCCGCGAAATGAGAGAGAAGGGATGAAATCGTTTCTCAAAAATAATGAAATGAGGAAAAATGAGTTATTAAGATTCAGGAATTTAGTCAATGTGGCACGTGTGAAATTTAACAACTTTCGCTAATAAGAATGTCAGTAGTTTGATGGGAATGATAGTTTTAAGCCGAAATATAGTTTAAGGGTATATATATGAGCTATTTCGTATATTTTAAGGATACTTTTGACCATTTTCCTTTTAGTCTATTTAGCAGTGGAAATCTATTGGGGTGTCATGTGACATCCACATGACATTTAACAATTTTCATTAATTAGAAATACATTTTTGACCCAATAATTTGACGGGAAGGGTGGTTTTGAGCCAAAATATAGCTTAAGGGTATAAATGAGCTATTTCAGATAGTTTAAGAATATTTGATCGTTTTCCGTTTATTATATTATTATTATTAGGCTTTTGTTTTCTTTTTTTTATTATTATTGTCATTATTAAATAATCATTATATCTTCTTAAGATTATTAGTGTCATTATTATTGTGTTATTGTTGTTGAAATTCTTTCTTACTTTTTATTTTTTATTTTTATCTTTCTCGCTATAGTTTAGTATTTATCTACTTCAATTCCTATTATTGGTCTACGAAGTTCTAGCAACTCCGTGTTATTATTTAAATTAGTATTGTTATTATCTTGTTATATGTTTTAAGTTATTTTGATCTATTCATGTTTATTTCAATATTGATTTCGTGTTGAATACAAGTTAAATGTTAACCAATGGAAAAATATCTCCGTTGGTTCTAGAGGCATTCTCATTTTAAAAAGACAAAATTTTAATTTGAGTTTATATATTTTATTTGTTAAAATGGCCGATTAAGAAATTACCGTCAATTTTCAACGTCTTTCATGTTCATAAGACGGATTTTTATTTTGAAATTATTATTTGATTTATTGAATTTTTTTCATATTTATTTATTACTAACACTTTTACTAAGTGTGTTTACAGGTACCCAAGACTTGCTTCCTTGAAGCTATTCGAAAGGAGTTCAAATTATATTTTTTAATTTCATAATTTGTATAAATTAACGTTAGACAAACTTTAAGTCGTCTCTTATATTATTGCTATATTTTATCATTTGTGTATATTGAGTGTTTATCATATATACTTGTACATTATTTTATTCTTCTCCTCAATTTGAAAAAAATGAATTCAATCGGAACCCACATTCGTGGATTTCAAAGGGTGCCTAACCTCTTCCATTCTAAATAACTTGAACCCCTTACCTAGAATCATATTGGTTTCGTAGACACTTCTTTCAAGGTAATTAATTAATCGATTTTCTAGTTTTCCTAAAAAATTAGGTGGCGACTCCCTTTTCCCTTTAACCCTTTTACCCGTTTTAAAATTCTTTTAAATAATTCTTTTTTATTGAGTTACCGCGACGTTGCTCCAATTCAAAGGATCTCAACACTTGGCAAATACTATTTGGGTAAAAATTTGGGTGAATTTCACCATATGTTTGGTCATAGTATTTGAGAAATATATTTCACTTTTTCAGAAAAATATGATTTATATCCATAAGTTTTAAAAACTATCAAAATTAATCATAAGTTTGTGTTACAAGTCAATTGGATCTTCGTTACAACAATAACAAATAGTTTTCATGACACTAGAGCAACGTGGTAATTTGGAATGAATACAACAAACATCATTCCATATATCGTGAAGTAAACAAAGCACGTGACATTTTAATCCTTAGTCGATTATTCATCATTTTCATCAATAACCATATCATCACGGAATATTTCATCACTACTTTGGTGTTAACGTAAAAAATCATGTAATATAACGCAAGCAACAACTATAGAAGGTGGTTTTGTTATAGATAAAAGTTTGGGGTAAAACTTTAATTTATAAAAGATCCCAAATAATGAGATTTGGGCCAAATACTAGAAAAAACTAATATTTGAGGATTTTGGGATATTTGCCAAAAATATTTGCTAAATAATGGCAAAAAATATGGACAAACACTATTTGCCAAGTTTTTTCCCAAATATTATTTGGGAAATCTATGGCCAAACGGGCCCTTAGTATTTTAAAAAAGATTTTTCCTTATTATTATTATTAATGTCGTGAAAAGTTTTAATTTCACACTACTTTTCATGTCTTATGTAATGAAGATAGCTAAGAGGCTAGTACAAGACCTCCGAATGATCAAATACGCCTTGTGACGACTCAAGAGTGCTCCCTTTTTCTAGGGTGTACTTGCTGATCGTTATGAATTCTCAAAAATCGCAACGAACACCTTGATCTTGTCCTTCTTTTCTCTTCTTTTAAACTCTCAACTAAATCCAAGTAGTGAATATTGGAGAGGTAGTTTATTCAAAATCACAAACTGAAGGGTCCAACAAAATCCATGAGGTTTTTGTAACCAGTCATCTTTTATACTAAAAATTGTAAATCTGCCCTTTACTCAATTATATTATTTGTTACAAACTGCCAAGAAAAGGTAAAAACTATAGTTGTGGAAGCTAACAGAAAACAGTAAAAAAACAATAAAAATGTAAGCAAACAGAGAGTCTGGCTAATCCTTGGATGCAACTCGCTGCTTCTTCCAATTATAAGCAGAGTCCAAGAGTTTCATATTATTAGTAATCTGCTCAGGAAAAAGATAGTCTATATACTCCTCGTATGCTGCTGGACCATCCTCCGTCTCTATTTGTCTTCTCTTCTTTAGTTTCTTTGGTAGTTTGGCACGGACTATATTGGCATCACCAAGCTCACCAAAACTGTTTTCCATATCTATCCATTCTTCGAGAAGTATTACTCTTTCTTCCTTCAGTTCAGATGCCGAATTTATCAGGTAAGAAACGGCGCTCTCAAACACATCTCTGGTATGTTGCAAGCACTTCTTTTTCTGATTGATATCTGAACACATAGCTGAAGCCTCAAACTTAGCGTAACTTAACCACACCTTTACATGTTTTGTGCGGTTAAGAAGTCTTTCATATAGTGCTCTTGTTTTTTCAAGTTCACCCTCAGAGATCTCAAAGTCGATGTAGGCCTTCCATAGTAACTCGGGAAAATCCAGTGCAGGTTGGCCAATTGCAAGCTCAAAAACAGCTCTGGCTCTCTCTGTTTCATACAAGGACTTCTCTAACTCAGCGAATTTGCTCCAAGCATAGCAATTTTCAGGTGAACATTCTAAGTACTTCTCATAAAGCTTTCTGCAACGGTCTATGTTCCCAAAATGCAGCTCTATCTCAATGTACTTCTTAAATATCTTGTCTTTAGGAGCCCTTCCAATTGCTTCTCCAAGTAATAGCCGCGCCTCCTTGAGCCTTAACTGCCGAATCTCAAACTGGGCAGCCAACAACCAAATCTTTGCAAATGAGAACTTGTGATGCGGAATCAGCTTAAGACACTCTCTGTAGACATGTCTGGTCCTTTCCATGTCGTGTGCATCAAGCTCTTCATATAATGCATAATTAATCCATAAGTAAATGTATCGCTGCCAATACCGCTTCTCTTCAGCAGGAGGAACATTAGCAATGGCTCTCTCATAAACCTCTCTAATCCTCTCTTTATTTCCAACGCTCTCTTCTAGACGAATATAATCAAACCACGTATCATAGTTACGTGGATTCTTCTTCACTTGATCCTCATATTGAAACCTCCTTTTTCCAACTATAGCATCCTCAATACCTTCCCTATCACCATACTGCTTTTCAAATGCCAGAAACTTGCTGTACAAATCCTCAGCTCGCCCTTTTGGTATGTGATCAAGTGCAAATTTATATATGCACCTTGCCCTGTCCGTCTCCCTACATTTGTCCTCGAACTCTGCAAATGCCACAAACAACTGCTCAGCTTCCTCATCGTCATCTGCCAACTTATCCACAGCCCTCTCATAACAATTCCTTGCCCTCCCAATCTCCCCATTCTTCATCTCAAATTTTGCAAACCTAATCCAAGCACTAACTTTGGGATGACACTGCACGAATCTCTCGAAAATTTCTCTTGCCCTCTCTATTTCATTATACCTCAACTCAAACTTAATGTAAGAGAACCACCCTTGCTGGTCCGGCATCCACTCCATCCACCTCTCAAAAATACCTCTTGCGCCCGCTACATTGGCGATCATCTCTTCCATATGAATATACTTGTACCACAACTGATCAACCCTAGGCAAACGGATAACAGCTCGATCCCATAGATTACGAGCATGATTAACAAACTTATTCTTCATCTCCATATGGACATACTTCAACCAGATGGTATGGTCACGGTTCAGTGCATCAATTCCAAGCGCACGTTCCCAGATTGAACGTGCACGCTTCAAGTCCTTGTGTGATTCTTCCCATTCAGCATATTTCACCCACACACTCTTGTTCCAGCCTACACGGCTGATTAAGGATTCAAATTCCTTTCGCTTGCGAAGTCGGTAATCAGCTAATTCAGTTTGGT